CATATTAAAGCAGAATGTTTGGGGAATGTAGCAAGTGTTCATATTTTACTGTGGTTTTATCCGTTTGGCTGTAATTCACGTTCAAATTTAAAAAAATATTATATCAAGTGATTTAATCACCTCCGCAACCGACGTCGAGGATTTTCAAACCTTCCAAAGGTTTATCAGTGTTTATCTTCTCCTCTTTGGTAACCCTCATGTTTATGAGACCGTCCCTCACGAATGGCACTCTTAACCTGTTCATATTGTGAAGGATTTTCATTTCGCTGGACGAATCCCACCATTGTGATCCTAACTTCTGAAATTTCTCGACCTCTCGAGCATCCACAGTCGATTTATCAGTTGACACCAACCTAAAGATTGCTTCGATATAAATACACGGGTATAAATAAACATTTGGATTTACATACCTACGGCATTGTTGTAAAATTGGTGTCTTCCTGAAGCGATTCATCAACATTTCGGGCTGTAAAAAGCGATTTTTCAATTAATCTAATACATTTTTATCATTAATAAATTCTAGCTAGACAATTTTTTTTTATTCGTGGAAATGTTATAATTTGTTTTTCTATTAGAATATATAATATTGTAAAAATGGACAAGGACAAATTACGAAGCTTAAAATAAATATTGAATGTAGAAAAACCGACATTTCCGATGTCACCATCGACATTCCTGTCAATTTCTTTGATTTGCGATACGTAATGAAATTATCGTAAGTACATAGAATGTAAAAATTCCGATTTACGAAATTGTATTTAAGGCGCAGCGATAATCCTAAACAAGTAGACAAAATGTATTCATTGACTTTGGCACTAATTGCTTGGTGGATCGGTAAGAAACGATAAAACAGTTTAGAGTTTATACAATTAGATGTTATTCTTTCAGTATTTGCTAATGGTCAAAGTTGCGACCAACGAAAATACGATCAAGATAGTGTAGTGTGCGTTTGCAATGCAACTTATTGCGATTCCTTCGATCCCATTACGCCGGAAGCGAGTGGAAAGTACTTGATCTTCACGTCGGATCGGGATGGACGAAGGTTTCAAAAATCCGTGCAAAACTTTTCCAATCCATCGAACGGATCGGACTCGTCGTGGATCAACAGGAACGTAACGTATCAAGGTATTGTCGGTTTTGGTGGAGCTTTCACGGATTCCACCGGAATCAACATCAATTCATTGGACGAAAAAACCAAATCCAATCTCATAAGGTAACGCAAAACCATCTTCAGTCCAATCATTAAATAATTAAATAACATTCACAGCGCGTACTTTTCCAAAAAAGGGATTGAGTACAACATGGGACGAGTTCCAATTGGTGGAACGGATTTCTCAACGCACGCTTATTCTTACATGGATAATCAAACCGTTGCTTATTCCAACGTCTCATCCACTAACTTCACCTTGGCCCCAGAAGATCTTCAATACAAAGTACAATTTGAAATTAACCAATATTTGTTCTTAATCATTTTTTGGTACTTTAGATCCCATTGATTAAAAACGCGCAGCAGGTTTTGGGTCGCAAACTGAAACTGTTCGGATCGGCTTGGATTGCGCCGAGAGCTTGGAAAAGCAATGGACAGTACAGCGGTTTTGGATTCTTGAATCGCGAACATTTCCAGGATTGGGCCGACTATCACATCAGATTCCTGCAGTTGTACAAAGAGCAAGGTCTTGACTTTTGGGGAATCACGACGGGCAATGAACCCAACAACTATTTGGTACCATTCAATAAAGTGCCGACGGTCGCATTCTTCTTCTACGATCAAGTAAATAATTATTAATGTAAATGTTCAATTTATTCACAGCGATTTCTTCACAGCAAACGTGGATAAATAATAACTTTGGTCCCACACTGAGGAACTCTTCATATTCCAACGTCAAATTGATAGGTTTGGATGATAACCGAATAGTTTTAGGTTTTTTGGATGATGTAAGTAATAATACGTTTACTAAATATTTCTAAATTATTAAATTATTTATGAAGCAACTGAAAAGCAACGTGACGAGAAGTTTCATCGATGGCATTGGAATTCATTGGTACACGGATTTCATTCCTGCCTCAGTTGTAACTAAATTCCATAATAAATATCCAAATCTGTTCATTTTCGGATCGGAAGCTTGCAGTAAGTTAATTAATAAAAAATTAATTATCGATGAAATCATTTAACTATTTCAGTACAAAACATGTTACAAGAACCAGTCGTTTTGGGCTCGTGGGGCAGAGGAGAACAGTACGCCAATGACATTATAAATGTAATCTATGATTTAGATAATTATTCAATTCCATATAAATATATTTAAGTTTAGGATTTGCAAAACTGGATGGGCGGTTGGGTCGACTGGAATATGGCTCTGAATGTGCAAGGTGGACCAACGTACATTAATAACTTCGTCGATTCTCCGATCATCGTGAACGCGACAGCTGGAGAATTTTACAAGCAACCCACGTATTACGCTTTAGGTCACTTCTCTAAATTCCTACCCGAGAATTCCGTTCGAGTGAAGATAGAGGATCTAGAAAATTTGCAGGTCGTCGCTTTTCAGAGACCCGACAACGCGACTGCAGTCATTGTACTAAATAGGTAATCATGCTATCATTTCAGCGTTAAAGTTTGTAATCGTTTCAATTTTCAGCAACGACGATGCACGAGAATTCAAATACTTCGATAACGAACGCGGAGAAATCTCCTTCAATTGCACTCCGCATTCCATTTCCAGTATTTTATATTGGTAAAGATTCCCGGTTTTGTTCCTACGTTTTAAGATTGGATATGCACAACAGAAAAAAAAATAGTTTATAATAGTAATATTGCCAATATTAAT